ACATTATTTCATGGCACTCTTTGAAAACCAATGTCTCAGTCAATTAATAAAACTCCTTATCAGTGCACAGGCTGCCTGCTGAGTCAGCGATCCTAGCTCCCGCCACCAATTCCCTTGTCCTCACCGCACATCCCCCCACCCCCACACTTGGCAGGACCAGTTTCCTTTACCTGGCTCCCAGGCAACCACATCCTTCTCACTTGACTTCAAAAGGAGAACGAACCTTTTCTTCACAACACAGAGTATCTGACCACTGCTGGACATGTGGAGGAAAACAGGACAACCACCATTTCCCGTGCTGGCTGAGCTTGGAGATGGTGGAAAGGTGCTAAGACACCCTCTGCCCTCAAAAGTCTCCAGGGGTCATGGGGGCAGATGGCAAGCATGCCTGTTGCTACTCACACACACCCAGTCTGCACAGGGTCCTATGCACCTTTAGCCCAATCCAGACAAGTAGGATTATAACATCTGCCCTTAGAATGGTCAAGCATTTGACCATTTTAAAAATATGGTAAAATACACATACAACTGACCATCTTAGCCATTTTAAAACAGTGCAATTCAATGACACAAAATATATTCTTAAGGTTGTACAAGACACCACCTTTATCTACTTCCAGAACTTTCTATCATCCCAAAGGGAAAACATACCCACCAGTCACTCCTCCTCTCTTTTCCTCTCCCACTACCCAGTGTTTCTCTCTCTGGAGCTGCTTAATCCTGGCATTTCACAGTAGTGGAATCCTAGTATATGTGGCCTTTTCTGTCAGAATTCTTCCATTTAGCATAATATTTCAAAGCTCATCCTTGTTGTAGCATGTATCAAAACATCATTCCTTTTCACGGCTGGATGACTCCCCACTGTATGACGACGCTACATGATGTTTACCCATTGTTCCTCTAAATGAACAATTGGACTGTTTCCATCTTTGGCCACAGTGAAGTCAAGCACTAAAGACCTTCAGTTGATCTCCAGTCTTTAAGCTCTGCTGGGCTCCCCGTGCAACACCGGCTGCCAGGGAAGCAGTGATGAGGCCACGTGACAGCTCTCAGGTCTGTGCCTGCCCTAGGCACCACCTCTTGCTCCCTCCCTCCTGAGCTCATCTCAGATGGACCCATCCCGCTGGTTCTCCACACCTGCCCTCAAGCAGCTACCTCCCCAACCAGGAGCCAGTGGGCCCAGTCTGTGTGAAGTGTGGCTTCTATACACAGCAAATCCCATCTCCCCAACCAAGAGCCAGTAACCCCAGTTCAGGGCCACACCGCATGATAGACACTGTGTGTTCTGTGGGTTTTCAAGGGTTTTATACTAAGCAGTTAGGGCAGGACCACCGGTGTTCAAAGGCTTCACCTTGACCACCTGGCTGAACCCCACAACAGCCCTAAGAGGGAGGGTTCTCGTCACATTTGAGAAGACACAAAATCAGGTTTCCCAATTCCGTGAGAGGCACACCACCTGCCTCCTCACAACAGTTGACCAACACACGGCCTTCAAGCCTGATCAATTCTTTTCCCGTACGCCCAGCCCACGCCCTATGCTAGAAAACAAACGCCGGAAATGAGAACCACCCAAGTTTATCCAGGTTGCAGCTTTAGGTAAACTTAACTTTCTCCTGTGGAAAAAAAAAAAGAAGTGCTAAGAGGACACCAGATTAACGCCTTTACAACGCCCCCCCCCCACACACACACACAAACACACACACACACTTACACCAGGGAGCACCGCTGGTGTTCTTCGTGTTTGTTTTCTGCTCCTTACCAAGCTCCTACCCTGCTGGGCTGCCGGGCTGCCTAAGAAGCCACACTACACACAGACTAGGCCCACAGGTGAGTCGAACGGGAAGGCAGAGCCAGGAGGGGGGCCCATGACTCTCTTGAGAGATGGGAAAGACCCAGAAGCTGGTTCCTCTCTCTTACCTCCATCCCAAGCGCAGCTTCTATTCACAAGGCACCAAAGCCCCTTTTAACCAAGTCCAGCGCAAGACCAACAGTCGCTCACCCAGTAGAAAGGAGAACCTTCTGGCTCTCGATTTTATCCTCACCTGGGCACTGCACTTCTGACGGAAATCGGCGGGCTTAGCCATCTCACGTGGGCTCTGAGAGCCAATCGTGCCCAGCTCCACAGCAGTGGTATCACCTGGATGGCCCCACCCCCGCTGTTAATTAATCAGCTTCTCTCTGCCCGCAGGACTGCTACACGAGAATAAGGGGGAAGAGCATGCAGGTATTTTTGAAAAGGAAGCACGTTTAGTAGAAAAAAGTCATTTCCACCAGCAGCAGCAGGCCAGGAGGCCCCAGGGACCAGTGGTCCCAGTCCATCCTTCCCCAAGGGAGGTAGAAAGGAGAAGTCCTTGTCAGACATCTCACGGCCAGTGGAGAATCAACCCCAGATCTCATGGCTGCAGCCAGCGCTCCTCCAGCTGAACCAAACACGTGCAGGCCATGAGGAGGTGGGGCCGAATGAGAGCAAAGGAGCTCAGGCAGTAAGGTGGAGATCAGTAACTCTAAGCAGGTGGGTTTGAAGGAGGTGGCTCCTACCGCCTTGCCCTGCAGCTTCCTTCCTGAGGCCCCTGCCCCAGACCTCCCACGGGCACCAGTCCTCCCATCTGCCCCACAGTGGGGCACCAGCCAGCTCAGTGAGCAGGTGGGCAGCATTCCCTGAGTGAGCTGGCCCTTCAAGGGGATGAGTTCAGGGCGAGGTTATGTCCATCAGCTTTCAGGACAAATTCTCAGTTTATTAATTCTCCTCCCTGACGCAAAGAAAAGTAAATAAGCTTTTCTCAGGCAGCCTGGCACAGAGGCCTTCCCTATTCAAACACTGCAAGAATCGACAGGCTTGGAAGTATTGAGCTCCCAGGCTCTGCTTCCCAGGGGGCCTTCCTGGCCTCCTGCCCACAACGTCCCAGCCTGCTGAGACAAGGCTGGCCCCGCGCTTTGTAGTGGCAGGCCCAGGGTCGGGTGCTCCAGCCCAGGCATGGTCTGGACACAGCCTCAGAGATCCTGGGCTTCCAGAGACAGTTAACTAGAGATGGTCAGAAAGGGTCTGGCCAAAGCCACAGCATCACATCCTCTGTGAGGAAAGTGCTTTCTAAGGGTATTTATTTACTGCTGGCTTCCATTTAAATAGTGTTTTTAAAGGTTCAAAAGGAAGAAAAGAAATACTAACAAAATCAAAAGGAGCAGAGTAAGTTAATTAGCTAACCAAGGAGGACGCTGCAAGTGTTTCGAAGTCGTTGCTCGGGAACCTCTAGTCTGGTGGGCTGGAGACTCCTAGCATTTCATGGGCTTCCTATGGTTGATGCAGAGATTCCACACGTTGGTTTTTCACCTCTATTTTCTTTCCCATTTGCCTATTTCTGATTGGAAGGGAAAAAACAAAAACCACTGCCAGAGAGCTGAAGTCAAGCTGCAAGGACTACAAAAGTGGGAAACGCAGAGAGACCGTGAAGATCTGCCTTGACCTTGGCCCAGCTGTGTGTGCAAACCTAAGAGTGTGTCCCATGAGTTCTGAGTTGTCTGGGGTCACGTTAAGGGAGCCAGAATCAAAGTTCCACTAAAGGGAAGTGTCTTCTAGCCTCAACACTGCTGTCCCCTAGTGCTGAACAGAGCTGGGATATTCCTTGCAACGTGTTTTCATAGAGGAGCTTCTTCTTCCCTCACATTTGATTCTATCAGTTCACCTCCCAGGTGCCAAGGTTGCTGCTTCCTCCAACCCCTTTCACCAGTATTTCTCCAGAACTGTCCTTTGCAGCTCAAAGGCGCCTACAAAGGACTTTATCTTTGCTTTTCCCAGGTGTGGCCTCTGGCTCCCCCTGAAATACACCTCTGTCCTTTCCTATTTAAAGACTGTGGCTTTATTGACTGTGTATGCCAGCTCTAAATCTGTTTATCTCAAGTTCCCAGTGCAGTGCCAATACTCAAAACCGCCCATCTTTATTCTAAAGTATTCAGTTGACCATATGGGTGAGCAAGTCTCTCTTGCACCTCTCCAACAGCCCTACCTGGAGAGGAGGGAGTCCCTAGAATGGCCCACCTGGGGGCCTGCTGTCACTCTCTCTGGCCCCCATGTCCACACCTACTCTGTGTGACCCCAGGACCAGGGTGATGGTACAGATCTTCCTTGCTCTTCACAAGGCACGCCAGCCCACAGGCACTAAGCCTTGGGTCATCATTCCTGTATCAAGGACACGTGAAGCCTGGGGATCCTTTCTCCCAGCAAAACACACACACACACACACACACACACACACACAGAGAACTACACAGGCAACAGATAATACTGGAGCACACTTAATCCAAATATTTTCAGAAGCCCAGAGTTATAGTACAGTTATGTAATGCATGTGCTTACAATCACTTATTAATGATTATAAATTAGACCTGACAGAGTCTGGTAACTTGTGTAATCTGGGAGCAACAGCACCAGTAAACAATGCGGAGTGACATCAGCACTAACTATAACATGACGGGAAGCAGCCTTGACTTCTGCCAGTGCTCAGGTCACCAGAGCTGCTGACACAGCAGCTCTGAGGTGAGTGGATGGGAAGGTGTGAGTTGCGTCCCATCCCCGCTCATGGGTCCAACCTGAATTCTTTGCAGGGGGGATGGGGATGCCCAAGGCTTTAGAAATGCCTTTTCAACGCCCAGCACTCACTTCCCTCCTTCTCTGAAGCTCCAGGAAGGGTCACATACCCCCAGCTCAGAGGGTGTTGGGCAGGCCAGTGGCTTCTTCTCCTGGGCAGATGATGGATGAGCAAGAGGCACATAGCTTTGAGGGTTCCGGGCTTGGACACAGGCATCACTGAGTCCTCTCTACCTTTTATTCCTGGAAGGGATATCCCAGAAAAAGGCCCAAGACTCCTCTCTCCTCATCCAGTCCAGGGCCTGGGCCTGCTGCAGATGGTGGTACAGAGGAGCATAGCCCCTCCAACCCACTCTCTTGTCTCCCCTTCTTCCCACCTCATGGCAATAGCAAGACACAAGAAGCAAAGGAAACCTACCTTCAGGCTCCTCCACGCTACTGGCCGCAGTGGTCGGCGGCGCCACGGGGATCTCTTTGTGAGGCACAAGATGGAAGGAAGAGAAATCAAGGTTAGATGTTACCTTTGACTTTAGAAGGAATAAGCCCAACACAGGCCCGTCTCCACCGTACACCCCACCCCTCGCCCCACACTCCCCTAGACACAGCTCCAGAAGAGCAGAGCCAGAGAGGAGAGAGCCATTGTGGTGCCTGGACAAACTGCCTCTCTCTGGAAGTTGTCCCTCCACTGGCTGCAAAGGTTCCTGGCTGTGGAGGAGGAAAGGGAGTGAGGAGAAAGTCTCCAGGGAGAGTGGGCGGCAGGGATGGCTGACCTTGAGCCCTTTACCATGTATCACCAGCTCAGCTCCATCCCTGGGTCTCCCCAGCCCCTGCTCATCCTCTTGGAGCTGCCTGGTCCTGCTCACCCCTGACCTTGACTCTGGTGGGGAGGACACCATGGCAGGAGCTGGGAGGTGTCTTATACAGGCAGAGAGGTGTCTGCACTCTGCACCCCTAGACCAGGCTGCTCTAGACACACATCTTCCAAGCAAAAGCTCTTTCTTAGTGGGCAGAACAAATGGATGCTCCAAAGAACATGTAGCCTGACAGAAGCATGTGCTTTATTGCGATCATTCCCTTTCTGTCTAGAATAGCAATTCATTCTTGCTGCATCTGACCCTATGCTAGGAAAGGTAAGGGGGTTCAGCCAGCCTCCAAACCAAACGCAGGCATCAAAGATTCAGCTTCCTCTTTCTGAAAGAACCCAAACTAAGGGCCAAAAGTCTGAGGAACAGGGTCTCACCTCTGGTTTAAAGAGGGCCATGGGCTGCCACAAACCCTACTGACTCTAGCCATCATCTGAGTATGTGGGGTAAAAGCCTCCCTCCCACCCTAGACTCGAGGTCAGCCAGGACCTGAAGCTTGGATAGAGATGGGGTACACCGGAATGTCGCCCAGAAAAGCAAGCCTTTGCACCTTGAGTATGAAGGAGCAGAAGACCCAGTCCCAATTTGGAGGTAAATCTTGCTCTCCGGTTTTTTGGCACAACCCACAGGTGCCTCCTCAGAGCAGATCACTAAGAAGCTGACCTCCCACCCAGCCCTTCAGTCCTCATGAGCTACCTATCCCAGCAGGGCGTTCTGGAGGAACATCTGAACAGCCCAGACAAATGCTGCACATTCACAGACAGAGATGGACCAGTGGCCACGAGTCACACTGGCCACTCATTCCTATACCTCAGGTCTGGAACAGGGATGCTCACAGAGGGCTTCTGTCTGCCAGAGATATGACAGAACAGGGCACTGTCTGGGAGCCTGTAGCCTTGTGCCCTCAGGAAGGGGTATGGAAATTCCAAGATGGAGACCCCGGCCTTCAGGTTGTTGAATCTGAAGAGGTCCACATCCTTGGGGGCACTCATACCCAGCATCAGCCTGTCCTTCCCGAGGTACAGAGCTTGTCTGAAAGCAAGAATTCCCTTTCCCCAAAGTTTCTGTCTCTGCTTTTGAAATGTCAGTTCCACTTCCAGGTCTCTCCCTTTGGAGATTTAAAATGGTTTGAGCCTTTTCTGAGCAACATGACAGCTCCTGGCTCCCTTCCCCGCACCACCCCCACCAGGTTTTCATGACCTGAGATGGCAAAGCTGACTTCCTTCCATCTATCCAAATGTTCAAATTTTGGGGCTTTTTGGATGGAGAGCAAAGGTAGACTTTGGCAAGCTGTGAAACGTTGACAACAAGACACTGTCACGAAGACCTTGTCTGGGCACTAGCTCAGTTTCCTGAGTCTGGTGTGTTATCTGTGTAACTGGACCCCTGCAAACCTGATTTAGAAACTGGTCAGGATAGCTGCTGGAACCAATGTTGCTCAATCTTTCCAGAACAAAGGCCACACCCCACTCAGGTTGGTGAGGTATGGCATGTCCAAAACTCCCACCTTTGGGGGGGGGACTTCCCTGCCAGGTCTAGGGGATCCACAGGGGAGAAGGGGCACCAGCTTCTTGTTTGTGTCCCACATTCCACCCTGGCCCTGGTCAGGTGACTCTTACCTACCCAGGGGTAAGGGACACTGCAACCCTAGGGCACAGCCTGCCCAGTGAAGGGTTGGCTGGTAAGTATTTTTGAGCCTAAGGTCACATGGATCAACTATTCAACTCTGCTGTTACTCGCTTGCAACCATTCGATCCTGCCATTAAAACGCAAAAGCAGTCATAGGCTGCATGGAAGCAAGCAGGCATGGTTGTGTCCCCAGAAAACTTCATATACGCACCCTGAACTTTTCATTTTCGCAAGCTGTGAGATGTTGTCCTTTTGAATTTTGTTTAAAGTCATTTTTTAAAAGTAAAAAAATCATTAAGTGACACACACACAGGTGGTGGACCAAATCCCGGGTCAGACTACACCACCCCTGCTTGAGAGAAGCCAACTTCATCCCTGAGGGTTCCATCCTTCCTTCCTTCACTCTCCCCTCTGGGTCAGTTTGGGTCAGTCCTACACAAGAATCACCAGGGCAGGTGTCAGTGCTCAAGTTGGCTTCACTTCCAACCTGGGCTCATTCTCCACTCGGACACCTGTAAAATACTGCACTTCTGAGCAAAGCCCCTGGGTGATCCCCGCCATTGCATTCACTCTTTCCCAAGCTCCTGCCACTGAGGTTGGCTGGAGAGGGCCCCTAAGTCCCCAGAGGGGCTGTCCTTCATAATGGCCACAGTGTCACGCATGGAGGAGAGTCCTACCCAGCTTCTCTCAAAGGCCTTCTGTTCTAACTCTGCCCAGGGCGGAGGAATACCAGAATCCCCATAGCAGAACAAGGATGGCCCTGGGGACACAGCCACTCCAGGCCCACGATCAAGGTAGAATATGAGAATATGTGACATGGCCGAGAGGGGCTTCCTCCCCACAGGAGCACAAGACTCTGTCAGGACAGAGCAGTAGGCTGGCTCTGCGGTGCCACCAGCAGCTTCTGCAGGAAGCTGCACGTGGTTGTCATGGGACCGAGCACTGAATGTGGAGAGCCTTCGGATGAACACTAGACCCACTGGTATCAGTGCCCAGCATGGGGTTTTCTTCCCCTGCACCCGCATCCGGGGTGCGGATGAGAGTGCCTGCACGTACTTATGCAGGGGGCGATGGGCGAGCGGCTCTGCTGGTAGCCCTTAGCGCAGCGGTTGCAGGTGATGCCCGTCACGCCGTCCTTGCAGGGACACTGGCCGGTGGTCTGGTTGCAGGTTTTGCCAGCAGCGCCCACGGGATGGCAATCGCAGGCTGTGGACAACAAACAACAGGAGTGTCAGAGGGTGAGGAGCGGCAGTGTGCACCTCCCCCAGGGTCCCGCCACACCCAGCGACCCCACCCAAGAGAAAGGGCAGGGTGACAAGACAGGCCCACTGAGCCCGCACACATTCCAGAGGTTCCGACAGCTGGCCCCCCCGCCAACCCAGAAATGGAGAAAAAAAAGCAGAAGGGGCCAGCTTGGAAGGACTATTCTGTTCAGGAAAGTGAAGCTGGGGAACCTTTCCAGTCCTGAGAGGAGTATGCTTTCAGGAACGCACAGCTCAAGGCTGATCGTGGAGGAGGGAGAGTGTGGAGGGCATCTGCTCGCCGCAGGAGCCTGCTCCTGGAACCAGCACCCTGCCGGCCCTCTGAGTGGGAGAGGGAGTGGGCCTGGCGGAGCCTGGGGTTTGTCCAATCAGAGGAGTCACCTTACTGCTGCCCTCCTACCTCATCAACGGTGCTGTGCCCAGACACCCTGAGGTCCAGGACTTGGGCTTCTGAGTCACAAACCCCACAAACTGTAGCACTAGGAAGAGCCACAGCTGTCATCTGGACAACATGAGGAAATGTGCAAAGACTGGACAGGTTAAGGGAACCCCTGGGTGTGGCATAAAGGAAATAGCCAGCTGGGAGGTGTAGCACGGTCCTGGTCTCAGGTCAGATGCTCTTGTAGGGAACAGAGGCCCCACACCCCTAACTCATGGTGGGTGGCAGGCTGGGTTGCTCTGACATCATAACATATCCCAAAGTCCAAGGACCCAGTCCCAGTGACAGAGCAGCCCGAGGACTTTGGAAGGACGCCCTCATTATTATGAAATGAATGTTTGTGTGCACGCACCCCACCCCCTACCCTCTCCCCAATTCATATGTTGAAGCCCTACCCCCCAAAGTGATGTATTTGGAGGTGGGGCCTTCCAAAGGTAATTAGCTTAGACAGTCACAGGTAGGACCATCACAATGGGATTAGCACCCAGGTGAGGAGGCCGGGAGAGCCTGCCCTCCCTCCAAGAGTGAACACCCCGGACAAAGGCCATGCCAGCACACAGCAGCAGCGCTGTCCACTGGTCAGGAAGAGTCCTCACTAAGTACCACATCTGCCCGCACCTGGACCTTGGACTTCTCGGCCTCCAGAACTGTGAGAAATAAATACCTGTTGTTGAACCTGGCAGTCGACTCTGTTGCTACGGCAACCCCAGGGCCTGAGGACACCCCCCTCCCCTAACACACGATGCCTGGCAGAAGCTGCTCCGCCAGCAGATACCCGGCCCTTCCCTGCGCCCTGCTTTCCCTGCTGTGCCAGGCGGTGGACTCAGGGGGTGAGGAGGAGGGAAGACTGGGTGAAGGAGGCCAGCGGTCCTGCTCTCTTCAAGTTGCCGCTCCTCTCCCAGGGAGGCCCGGAGAGGATGGGGAGTTGTCCGCAGGAAGGCACAGGGCCATTTCAGTCAGTGCCCAGGGCTGCGTGTGTCTCCACTCCAAGTGGGAAACAAACATGCAAGAAGCTGAGGGTAGACTTCCTAAAAGAGCTAAACTAGAGCTTCCCCAGTTAGCAATGTTCAGCCTGGGGGTTGGGGGGCACAAGTCTAGTAAAAGCATGGCTTCTCCCAGACAGTCTGGGCAAAGGAGTGGCTAGATGGGAGAGCTGGGACGGAGGGAGAGAGGAGGGGAAAATAGAAAGGAGAGGGATGTAAGAGATTGTGGGCGTTGTGTCTGGACATGTGAGAGTGCCAGGAAGCTGGGGAGTGGGGTCCTGATGTGGGTGCTCTGGCAGGTCAGAGAGGATGGGGCGCTGGCCCTGGGAGCCAAGCAGGCTGCCTGGAGGTACCCGTGGGTTCCTCATACTGTGGAGTCCGAGGAGGGGAAGTGGAACTGTCCCAGTCTTGCCCCTCCAGGTAGAATTTGTCTTCTTAAATATACCCTAAATTCAAGGTCATTCTTTTTTTTTTTAAACTCAGTAGCGAGACCCAGCCTTGCATGCCTGCGGCCCAAACTGTAAATGCTGGTGGTGAGGAGGTGTGGGTGGAGAAGACCTCTGACCTTTCCCTGCAGCTTCCTAAATCCCTGCCTGTGCTGGGGAAGGTGGCACCTTTGAGAGAGCAGAGGGCCACCACACCGCACCTTGCTGTCCCCAGCCCCTGACATAGGCCTGGGCACCAGGGGTAAGTGGGCTCCCCAGACCTAGGCCGTGACCTCCCCTGGCCTGCTTTGCAAGCCTGCTGCTGCGATTCGTGCCAAGATGTCCTCGCCTCAGTGCAAACAGAACACAGCTGTGTGCCAGAAACTTCGGGATCCTTGGACTCAACTGGGGGGAGGTCACCAAAGGCTGCTGGGTCACTGAAAGGTCAGTGCCAAGTCGTCATGGTACCACTGGTGGCCCGGGTCCTCTTCACCGAGTCAGAGGCCAGCGGAGCGGGGAACTGCTGCACATTGTCTCTGGTAGTGGGTGACCTCGTGGCCGCCAGGCCGGCGTGCTGCCAGAGGAGCCAGGGGCCGACTGAGGCCACGGGAGCTGAGTTATCGTGGGGGTGGCAGGCAGTGTGTCTGCTCTGGGGCACCGGCACCTCTCCACCCTAGGGTTCAACAAAGGGGGTGCGGTGATGCTTGCTTTCCAAATATTTTCCACAAGGTTCTGCAAAGATCTGACCCCGTTTGCCCCTTAGCCTGGTCTTACAGAGGTGCGTGGGATGACTGTGCTTCCATGCAAGTCACTGCTCTGGGGGAGAAGCCATCAGAGTCCCACAGATGTGGGCAACAGGGCTGAGGGCAGCGGCTCCAAGGGCTACCTAGGTCACCCATGGATTTTAGGGGAAATCCTTACTTTGAGCCATTTTCCTTGGAGTCAAGAATGAGTGCTAGTCTGGGTCTCCCTGGTGGCAAAGGGGTTGAAGTCTCTGTGCTATCAGGCTGTCACCAGCCACGGTGGCATGTGTTGGGTCCCAGGTCAGGGCGGTGACCCACATGGCACAGCAGACCTCTCCTGTCTCACCTGCTGCTCCCCTCCACAGTGTATTTTGGTGGATCTACCTGTTCTGCTCCCCACTCTGTCTCTGGTGAATCCCCTCTCTCTCTCTCTCTCTCTCTCTCTTACACACACACACACACACACACACACACATTCCTCTGGCCTGCATCCCAGTTCTTGTATGCATACATAAAATAAAATAAATCTTTTTTAAAAGGGAAGAAGAATGGGTGCAAATGTCTTCAGAATGTGTTTGGTCTCACTCAACAAAAAACCCACCCAGTCTCGCACTCAGTGCGTAAGCACATATTTCTCCTTGCAGAACAGGGAGGGGGCAGTCCAGGATGGGGTGGTCCCCTGTGATGCTCTCAGAGGTCAGGCCCTGCCCATGCCAAAGGGCCTCCCGTCACTTGCTCACCTGTCCACCACCTCCGCCTCTGTGTTGTCCCGACATTTGTTCACAGGCTGGAGTGTGGGCCAGGATGGAGACTGCATGAGTGTGGTGCACTAAGTTGTCACAGTGTCGGGGTGGTGCTGTGCTGAAGGGATGTTCCACATCTGGGGATGGTCCCACCATCCCGCCCATGGGTAAGCACGGCCCACATAGACCCTGTGCAAAGTGTGAGCATCAAAGTATGGGGAGGGTTTTCAGAAGGCAGCAGCCCAGAATGGGTTTCTTTGCAGCTACATGGGAATCTGGCTCCCAGAGTCAAAGGAAGGGGATTTCTGAGCCGACTAACCAGGAAGCTCTGGGTCCTGACCCTTGGGAAGAAAACCCCAAGGAGAGACTGCAGTATCCCCTCAACCCTGCTATGAGCCCAGACATGCACACAGATTCCTACAGACAGACACACATAGGCCAACAAAGACTCACACATGTAAGGACACACAGGCAAGCTCCTGTGTGTACACACACACACATTCAGACCCACAGAAACACATCCACACACACACGAACGCAGAATCCTACAAACTCACACGGACCAAGACACAGCGACTCGAATTCGCAGAGCAGAGGGGTCAGGCTGAGCTGGGGAGAATGTGGGCTGAGGTAACCGGAGGTGTTTTGTTTTGCAGGGGTCTGGTGAGGGGATAAAGACAGAGCCTCCCAGACTCTGGGAATGGGGCCGGGTCAGGATATCTTCCGCACAGGAAGCCCGTTTGGTGACTCTGGAAGCTTCCCTGGAAATCAGCGCTTTTTCCAGAGGTTACCCGTTTGCATGGAGCAGGCAGCACTGGTCATGGGAAACAATCTATCCCAGGGCTTTTCCATCAAGGAAGAGTGAGCCCAGCCAGCAGCTCAGGGCCCTGAGAAGGTGGCAGGATTAGAGTTCTCACAGTCCCGGCAAGCTGGCAGCCTCTTGGGGGAGAGCGGAGCACAGGCGGTCCTTGCTCTTGCAGTGGGTCGTCCCAGGGACAGGGGGCTCAGACACACCAAGATTCGATGGGGACACCCTGTCTGGGCACATCCCAACAGTCATGGTGTGACCCTTGCTTAGTGTCTCATTCTCAGGTGACTATCTGTAAGGACAGAGGTCTACACTCCCCTCCCACTAAAGTTGCTTCCAACATAACAATATGAAGCTTGGTTTCCTAAAGGTTCCAGGGCGGCAGCCACTATCAACTCATTGCTGCAGCATTTTGGTAAGGAGGGCAGTGCAGTGTGCTCCTTTTCTGTGGACAACCCCCTACTCCTCCTCCTGACAACCACACGTCTGGTCTCTGTCCCTCTAGTTGGGCCTTTTGAGAGCCTCATCCTGGTTGGAGAGCATACAGGGGACTGTATCATTTGACTGGCCTCCTTCACTTAGTCAAATGTATGTGAGGTGCCTCCATGTTGCTGAGTGGATCCATATAGCTCATCTCCTTTTCATGGCCAAGTAGTATTCCATAGCACAGCTGGCATCACTGCTTGCTAATCCTTTCACCCACTGAAGTACATTTGCATTATTTTCGGCTCTCAGCAGTTATTTGGGATACCACTGTAAACATCCATGTGTGGATTTCTGTGTGAACACGGGTTCCATTTCTC